ATGCATCGTTACTTCATCACTGGTATATGCATCGTTACTTCATCACTAGATGGAGTGTTGCATACACTTTTTTCACCCCTTCTTCAAGATCAAGAAAATCAAGGTCAAAGGTTATTCAGTGTTCTTGCTTGCCGGTGCCATTGGTCTAGATTGATAATTTGCAGTACTCTTGTTAATATTATCCATCCATCCATCCATCCATTTATCCATCCATTCATCCATTATCTTTAAACCGCTTCTTCCTTTTCGGGTCGCGGTGATCAATGGTGCCCATATCCAGCAGTCACTGTGCGAGAGACAGGGGACACCCTGGACATGTCTCCAGTCCATCACATGGACACAGAGACAAACGAGACAAACAACCATTCATTCTCTCACTCATCTAGGGACATTGTAGAGATACCAGTCAGACTAACATGCATGTTTCTGGTCTGTGGGAGGAAACCGAAGTAGCCGGAGAAAACCCACGCAGCACAGAGAGAACATGCAAACTCCACCCAGAAAAGTCCCCGGCCAGGAATTGAACCAACAACCTTTTCGCTGAGAGTCAAATGATCCGCCGTGCCGCCGTTAATATTTTTATTAACCTATATTTAACCAGGCAAGTTCCAAAAGAGATCAGAGATCTGGCCTGGGCCTGAACAGGCTAAAAGAAGGAAAAATAAGAAAACGTTTTCTGACTAAGACAAAATCGACGTCCGTTTCCGCCTCACATCCAAAGTGACGACTGCGATCTTTTGTTGCAGCTACGATGAACTGCGGGTCTTCAGCCGTCAAACCGAAGCGTTGTTTTGGTCGTGTTGTCGGTGGCTGCGTGTCCAAAGCTCACTCGTGGCCCTGGCAGATCAGTCTCAGAACCAGGTAAGACCATGTCCTGATGCATGCTCAAGGTAAGGCCATCCACACTGAAACATGACGAGTCTCAACGGGACTCGTTGAATTTCTGAAACAAGTTGCATGATTAATTTTAAAAGGGGAAAAACAGTGTTTTATACATCTAGAGAAGCTCACAGGTTTGTTAGCGAAGATAAAGTGTATTACTGTAACTTACATGAGTGGAAATACAGTAAAACGATGAATAATTTAAAATTCAGGCCTTTTTTAATTTTAAGTGAAGGTGAAAGTAAAAAATTCAGTCTGGCTTTTTGGAATGATCATCTGAAAAGTACTCAGCGTACCACATTCCAACCACAGAAACCAAAAGGCAACATTGCAAATTTATAATAAAATAGAAAGAGTTCAGACATTAAAATAAATTAGGTGCAATTATAATTTGGAAACACGAACAGTACAAATCACATTCATAGGATTACTTTGGAGTTTTGCTTCCGTTTTACCTAATAAAAAATATTAGTGTTGGTTTATTCTGTCTTTTCTCTCATCAGCTCGGGGATCCATTTCTGTGGAGGGACTCTGATCCACCCTCAGTGGGTCCTCACCGCTGCACACTGCCTGGAGAGGTCAGAACAGACACATTTATTTAAAGAGCAAATGATGAGACGAACCGTGGATAACCGTGTGTTTGAAAATGTTCTGCTGCTGAAGGTCCACACGGCCCACGGCCTACCAGGTAGTCATGGGTATCCACAGGGAGGCCGCCACGGAGCCGTCGAAACAGCTGCGGCTGCTGGAGAAACTGGTGCTGGAACCGAACAGAGCTGACATTGCTCTGCTCAAACTGAGCAGGTTGGTAAAAGTTTAATTAATTTGATTTACTGCCTAAACACACAGCGCCAGGGAAATCTCTTGAGTCAGTCTCATATGCTTTTATTTTATTTTTTTATTCCAAGGACAAAATGCGGCTGTTTGTCTGATTTTAAAGAGGTTTAGGTCAAAAGTTCTTCAATCTTTCTGAGTCTTTCAAAGTTTTTCTTTAGACTTTGACTGTTTTGTTACTCAGTGTCTCTCCAGTTATCTACCTGACCACCACAACAGTACGTGAACGAGTTGGGGACTATAAAACCAAGTCTCCAAAAGCAGTACCAGTAGTGCTCATTTCAGGGGCCTCCACAGCGTCTTCTGTCCTCACTCTGTCCTCTGCGTCTTCTGTCCTCACTCCAACTACCTCCATGTCCTCTCTAACTCCATCCATATGTCTCCTCTTTGTCTTTTTCCTGGCAGCTGCATTTCTAACATCCTTCTACCAATATACCCACTGTCCCTCCTCTGGACATGTCCAAATCGCTGTCCCTCCTCTGGACATGTCCAAACCATCTCAGTGTGTCCTCTGTAACTTTATCTCCCAGTTGTTCCACCTGTGCTGTACCTCTGATGATCTCATTCCTGATCTTCTCCATCCTTGTCACTCCTAAGGAGAACCTCAACATCTTCATTTCTGCCACTTCCACTTCTGTCTCCAGACCGTACAACATAGCTGGTCGCACCATCGCCTTGTAAACTTCTCCTTTGACCTTTGCCTTCTGGCAAAGGCCTCATCCTGCCACGCTTTAATACCAAAAGACTAGAACAGATAAATGACATTTGAATGTTGTGTCTTTAAGAAATATGAAAAAGAAATCAAGCGAAGACCTGAGAGATGAATTGTTCTTTAGTTGATCATCTGCATGTTAAATTTAGACCTAGAAATTCTACGCCGGGGTGCCCAAAGTGGGGCCCGTGGGCCAAAGTTGGCCCGCTAAGCCATTTGATTTGACCCACCAAGCTGTCCTCATTACTATATTAAAATGTTCTTTGTTCCAAGTTTAATGTTAGATGGAGAGTTGGCCCAATGACTACTGTAATGACACTAAACAGCTGGAGTGACTGATTTGTGCATTCATTTTTAAAATTTTAATAATTTACATTTTATTTTGACAGACTTTGTACTGTCTCTCGGCAGTTTCTTGCTGCTGAATAACTTTTCCTTTGACAAAGCTGAGCATCATGTAGGTGCCCGTCGCACACCCTTCTTGAGCACCCCTAAATTTTAACTCAGCATCTCTGAAAAATTAAGAAACCATCATTAGGATTTTGTAAGGAAGCAGTTTTCAAACATTAGTTTCATCAAAATATGGAATAAATGACAACAGTCTCTAATGGGACAGTAAAATCTATATATATATTTTTTGCACGAGTTATGCCACCTGTCAATCAATCCAGTAGGCACGTCAGCAACTGACCAGTCAGCAACTGACCAGTCAGCGACTGACCAGTCAGCGACTGACCAGTCAGCGACTGACCAGTCGGCGACCTCAACTTGTCCTGAAGTGAACGCCCCTGACCTGCAGAGCTGCAGCGGTGTTGCATTACGAACACTTTGCAGTCAGATATTTCAATAATAACTGAATTTACATTTTGTTTCATGATAATCTACTGTAATAAACTTTTGTAAAATACAGCAAAATGCAGGAAATGGCATCTACTTTATTCAAAATTCTCTGGGGGAGGACCCCCAGACCACCCCTCCACCACCTGTTCTGTAGTGTTCTTTATACAGCATGAAAGGATAAATGACTATAATAAATAAATGGACTTTACTTAATTAATTATTAGCATTTCATGCCCGCAGCCCTCTGTTAGATTTTAAATTTGTCCCTTTCAGAGACAGTTTGTGCGCCTACGCTAAAACACAACTTTCTGTTTGTCAGATTTTGACATGTTTGATGTCTTTAAAAAATGGAAACAAGTCATGTGTTTGTGACGAGCGTCTGTAACAAAAAGCCCAAAGATTCACTGACTCTTGAGTTTTCTGCTGTTTTAACTCTGGAGTTCAGGAACTCTTTTTGAGGCTGAATAGTTCAGAGGTCAGCTTTAAGTTTTAAACAAAGAGGCTGTGAAATCTATTAGTGTCCTCAGTATCTGTTGGCTTTAGCTTGACTTGTAAATTCTAGCTCAGTATCTGAAATCTTTTTTTTATTTTTTTATCTTTTTTTTTTGTTTGTTTGTTTTGCTAACGTTGAATGGCAGCCATCTTGAGGTTGACCCTAAAAGTTGTATTTGCACATTAATTTTAATTAGTGTGCGGTTGTTCTATGAAATTATCTTAAACAAAGTACAGGTTTGGGTGAATGGTCGGAACAATGAACAAACACTCACAGGCTGTTTCTGCTAGAATAATAATGTGTCATTTTATTAAACCGCCACAGATACAGTGAAGCAAAGCACAAGTACATTCAGTACAAATCAGATGTTGATGTAAAAGCCCCTCACCGTGACACCAGACCGGGAAGCCGTTTCAGTCCGAGTAAAAAGGTAACATCAATTGGCTGGGCATCGGATCAGGATCCACAGCAGACTTCAACTCTAATTCTGAGTGTCACACTTTAATACTCTCTGCATTACGTGGGAACATCTCCCAGTAAACAGAACATGCCCACCTGGACTTAAAGTCTGTGAAAAACCCTTGAGATAGCGTGAGAGCGTGAGAAGCTTAAAAACCTCTGGATAACGAGAGAGCGTGAGAAGCTAGGGTGCGAAACCTCGAGATAACGTGCGGGGAGGGCGGGCCAAGCCTCCCCCTCAGGCCTCTCGGGTGGCTCACAACAGCATGCACCAAAAACTCTTCATATCACAGGTTAAATAGTCAGAAAAACAACATTTTATTCTACTCTCAACTCAGCGGTTCTAACTGAAAAGTTTGCATATTTGGCACAAACGTCAAACAATTTTAAAGTCGGTATCTGTGAGATGAACTGATGAGCGGCAACGTGGTGGAGAGGGACCCTGACTGTATGACATGCTGGATGTGTTCGAGCTGCGTCAAAGTTCAAGCTGCTCATGTTTGTGTGTTTTCAGACCTGCTGTAATTAATGATAAAGTGCTGCCTGCTTGTCTGCCCGAGAAGGACTACGTTGTTCCCAGTGGAACCGAATGTTACGTTACCGGATGGGGTGAGACTCAAGGTACGTCTCCAAACTGATGCAGTCACGGCCAAATATTCAAAAATATTATCTGGTGTCTTCAGCTCTTTGAGAAGGTTTAATGCTGCCAGTAACTCAAAGCTAATAGAAAATAACTATTTAAACAGATAAGAATAAACATTATCGCTGCTCCAAAACAAAATATATTTCAGATAAATTTAGTATCTAAGAAATGCAGCCCAGTTAAATACAACCTAATGAAATACACACTTATGGGTTTGGAGAGCGAAGAAATTACTACAAGTCATCAAAACATTATAACTAAAAGGCAGTTTAAGAGAACTTTAAATAAAATATCAAAGCAAAGGTTTTTAGCATTTATAACTATCAATAAATATGATTTTGATTCATTAGAGATTGACCAACATCAATAATTTTCTTTGCTGATGCTGATTTTTGGAAATCAGGGCAGTCGAAGGCCAATACAATTTACAGTACGTCTTTTTTTTTTTTTTTTTACCAATAATTATTTTTCATTTAACAAAATACGACAACAAAAATAAATTGATATTTACCAAATCTTAGAAAAACATTTGTACACCCTCATAAGGTTTCTCACCTTACAGTCGCCTGTTTATCACATTTTTCCTACTTGGTAATTAATTAAACACAGGCCTGTCTTTTTTATAACTTTTTTTAAAAGTGGCCAATGTCAGCCAATTAAAAATGATCAGCTAATTACCGTATTTTCCACCGTGCACGTCGCAGTGCCCTATAAGTCACATCAGTCCAAATCTGTCTAATAAAGTGGAAAAATCCATAAATAAGTCGCTTCGCTGTATAAGTCGCATCTATTATGCGTCACCGCTGACAACCTGGAAATGTAGCCGGTGTTGTGCCAAAAATCGATTGGCTGCCAAATGGTGGCAGCGGGAGCGTGCACGGGAGGACTTTAACAAGAATTTAACAAGATTAACACTTAAAAACAATTATTTGTTTGCTCGAAATTACAGTAAAGGTGTCTCAGTTTAAATTTTTCTTAATAAATGCACTTTGACGGTTAAACCAGCTGCATTTCAAAAGCCGGTACACGGAAACAGGAACACGCAGAGGCCGACTCCCTGTGCATTTATTCGAAATTTAACAAGATAAGCACCTAAAAACAATTATTTGTTTTCTCAACATTACAGTAAAGGTGTCTCAGTTGAACTTTTTCTTATTAAATGCACTTCAATGGTCAAATCAGCTGCATTTCACCGGGGCGGCGCAGCGAAATGAAGCTGATTTGACGGTTGCTCCAGGTGAGCTGGACGAAGGTGGCAGTCTAAGGCAAGCTGATTATGTCATTAATAGCCACTTTTACCTATTACATAACACAACGGCATGCCATACTACTCCAGTGCCATCTAGTGGCTGAAAATGGTAGTGTTCAATATTTTCTGTCAGAATGAATGAAAACAGTCATATCTCAGCCTTAAAATCGATTTATAAATATGGGAAAATAATCAATAAACACGTCGCTTCGGTGTATAAGTTGCAGGGCATGCACATTATGCAAAAATTAAAAAAACGCGACTAGACTGCTGAGATTTCCCAACTTAACTGCAAACTGTCGCACCTCAGCGGCGAACTGAATAACGGGGAAGAAGCAACGAACTTTGCATAATTCACCACGTTGTTGTCTGACGGCTGCCAAACATCTGGTGACGACGAAACGGTGTGTTGCAGGTTCTGGAGGTGAGGGTTACCTGAAGGAAGCTGGTTTCCCTGTGATCGAGAACAAGGTGTGCAACCGTCCATCTTACCTGAACGGCAAAGTTCGAGAACACGAGATGTGTGCAGGAAACATTGAAGGAGGAGTCGACAGCTGCCAGGTACACGAACCTCACGGGTCACGGTGTTTGAGGGGGTTCATTTTACTTACAAATCTTGGACTACTTGCAAATGTTGGCTGTAATGCTGTAATTTCCAGACAACGGAGTCGCGCACAATAAATTTAGGAAGGAAATTAATTTTTGTACATATATAAGCCACGCTTGTGTATAAGCCGCTGGTGTTGATGTAAGATGAGTGGCAGCACACAGCTAGTGCGGCTGTGGCTGAGTGGTTAGAGCAGTCGTCCTCCAAAGCAAGAGTTGGGGGTTTGAATCCACCAGCAGTCACATGCCGAAGTGCCCCTGAGCAAGACACTGAACCCCTCAATGTCTTTGATGTGTGTCCCATCGGTGTATGAATGTGATAAAGCTCTATTAGAACAGTCTATTTACCATTTACAGCTACTGAGAGAGACATGGATAATCTTTTCTGCATCGTTCCAATTTAATTTGTGAAGCGTTCTTCTTTTTTTTTTTCAGTAAAGTCCAGTTGTTTTGTTTTTATCTTTGTTTGTATTTACTCTGACCTGGATGACTGAGAATCTTCACCAGCGTATTGCAAGATGAACATTAGTCGTCGTAGTACAGACAAATGCTTTTGAATGATTTGAACAGATCTTCGTGTTTTTATAAATATTTTGACAACTGCATAAGTTACCGTCTCCCAACTGAGCTGAATGTTTGGATGTACAAACTGTCAAATCAGCTGAAAGTGTGCAAAAGTAGCTAAACGTTAAAAAAAAAAAAGGGGAAGAAGCAAGAAAGAGCAAGCTGTGTGAAGACTGTTGATCCTCACTGATCAAGTTTTGACAAACAAGACTCGAGCCATTTTGAAGCCGATGATTTAAATAAAACATTTAGTTCTGGGGGAAGATTTTAACATAAATCTTTAAGCTTTGTCCAAATGTGCGTCGTGTCAGATACGTTTGTTTTCCTGCAGGGTGACAGCGGAGGCCCTCTGGTTTGTTACGCTCAGAACACGTACGTCCTGCAGGGAGTGACATCATGGGGTCTGGGATGTGCCAACGCCATGAAGCCCGGCGTCTACGCTCGAGTTTCCAAGTTTATAGACTGGATCGATCAAACCATTAAAGCCAACTGAAAGCATCCACGAGGAGTTGATGTTAATTAACGTAAATGAAAGCGACACTCAATGAAAATGTATTCTAAAAATTCATGTCCTTGTTTTTGAGCTGATTAAAGTAAAAACTGTTCCACTGCTACTTTGTCTTTTGTTTGTAAAAGTTTCTTTGATTCTTGATTCGTCTTTTTCACAGGAAAATATTTTGAAGTACGTCTTCCTGAAGTGTTTTAAAATTTACTTAGGATTCTCTGGCTCAAACATTTATCTAAACATTTATTGCAGATTTTTTTAAAGAGTACTTATGAACTGAAACCATTTTTTTTTTTTCAATATTTTGCTAATCTTTAAACTTAAGTAGCAAAACACTAAACACATTTATCTGCTCTAAACAGACAGGTATGATGTGTATATGGCAAGCCCTTTTAACATAAAATCAGATTCACCACGCTTACATTCCAGATATCTGAAACTGAGTTATGACTAGACATATTAGTTATTTAAGATATCTCTAATTACATTCTGACTAGTCATAATGACGTCAGATTTACCATTGAGTTGTATGGAGGCTTCAATTCAAGATATCTTGAACTGAATTTTGACTAGTCAAAAATACAGTTTTAGATATCTCTAAGTTAATTTTGACTAGTCATTATTTGCTTTCAAGATATCTCACTTTTAGTTCTGACTAGTCATAATTACAATTAAAGATATCTTAAATTACGTCATTATTCAAGATATCTTAAATGTATTTGTAGATATCACAAATTAAGTTTTGCCTAGTGCAAATTAAATTGTAGATATCTTGATAGCAAATAACGACTAGGCAAAACTAACTTGAAGATATCTAGAACTGTACTTATGACTAGTCAAAGTTCCTTTTAATATATCTCAAAATGAATTCAAGATTTCTTGAATATTTTATCATGTAGACGGCTTTTCTATTTAAGATATCTTGAACTAGCATTCTGACTAGTCAAAACGTAATTGTTCATAGTCAAAATTCAAGTTAAGATATCTAGAATGTAACTACAGATAGTCAGACTACTCGATTTTATGTTAAAAGGGCTTGCCATACTTCACCACAAAACACCGACTTATCAACCAAATGGTTCAACACCTCCACCAGGTGCAAACACACCTGTGCTTATAAAAAACTTATTCATCAGGTACAGGCTTTTAAAAATATACACATTTCAGCATCTGTGCAGAGATGGACATCCCCCCCCCCCCCCCCAACTCCCCCACACACACTTATAAACAAAGGTAAAACGTGATGTTGATGAAATTTTATGACCAAATCCATGAGACTAATCCTAAACTAGAACTTTTTATTTCTTCTATAATTACTGCAATTATTTAAGATACATACATACAGTAAATACAAACATACACACATATTTGTTTACATAGATGTTTGAGTTAACAGAACTGGAAAATGTTTTGTTCTGACTTCATTATGACTAACTTGAGTGTTTCATCAGTCTGCAGCGGTTTCTGCGTATAAAGAAAATATTTTTCTGTGGCTGACATGTGCAAACATGTGACAAACTGCTAAACATGTGACAAACTGCTAAACATGTGACAAACAGCTAAACATCTGACAAACGGCTAAAAATGTGACAAACTGATAAACATGTGACAAACGGCTAAACATGTGACAAACTGATAAACATGTGACAAACTGATAAACATGTGACAAACGGCTAAACATGTGACAAACTGATAAACATGTGACAAACTGCTAAACATGTGACAAACTGATAAACATGTGACAAACGGCTAAAAATGTGACAAACTGATAAACATGTGACAAACGGCTAAACGTGACAAACGGCTAAACGTGACAAACTGCTAAACATGTGACAAACTGCTAAACATGTGACAAACTGCTAAACATGTGACAAACAGCTAAACATGTGACAAACTGCTAAACATGTGACAAACTGTTAAATGCATGCCAAACAGTTAAACATGTGACAAACGACTAAACACGTGACAAACAGTTAAATGCAAATCAAACAGCTTGTGTATGACAAACAGCTAAATGTGTGACAAACATTTAAATTTGTGGCAAACAGCTAAATGCATGACAAACCGCTAATTGTGTGACAAGCAGCTAAATGCCTGACAAACACTTAAGCACAAAGCAAACAGAGAAACACGCTGCAAACACATGACTGATGTAAACTCCAAAACAATAAACAAATACAACAGAAAAACGCTGCAAAAGAAAAATTCTGTAATCACAGAAAATAGACAGAAGAAACAACATACAACTAACAAAACTAATTGTTGGAGAATATTCTTGGTTATCTTAAGAACCACACTCAACGGCAGGAGCAGGTTTTTAACCAGTATTTACTTGCAAGGTCAGATTTTCAGGACAGGTTACATAAAAATACTTGAAGTTCACACATGAAGACCAGTCATGAGAATCTGCCGCGAGTCGCCTGTTCAGCTTGTTTTTATGCCCTTATCAGTTCAGCCGAGTTCATAGGAGGGTTCCTTGGAGCCACCTTCATGCTCCAGCCTCACTCAGCTCCTCATCCAGCTCTCTGCTAACCCAAACATATGGTTCATGGGCAGAGTTAACATTCTCAGACATAATAGTTAAAAACATTCATGACCTTTGATCAAAAATTCCCAACACAAATGCAAAGAAACATACCAGAAATACTAAAACAACTGCAAGTAAGCAACGATGAAAATTCGCTCCTCAAAAAGGAAGTGCACCAGACCAGGAGGGGGACTCGACCCCCAAGACATGTGGGACCAGAGCCCCCTAAACACATTATAGCTGTTTAGCATTAGCTGTTTGCAGCTCGTTTGCATCATATTTCGACCGTCTGCTCACAGTAATCATGATGAAAGTAAACGTGTTCTCAGTTTAGCACATCAGTGCCAAATAAATAAATAAAAATGAGTTTGATATGGCGACAAACTATTCTTTTTTTGTTTTTTATATTTCAATGTTGATTTTTTAAGTGTTTAAATTTTCAAACAAAATGCTAATTAGGTGTGTTTGAGATTTTTTTTTTTTTTCTTTAAGTCTTTTTTCACAAGTTTATTCATTATTTTACAAACAATGGGATTTTTGCTCCAGATCCCAATATGGTTAAATCTTACACTTTGATGGTGTAATACATTCTCCAAATCTGTGTAATTTTATATAAATGTCTCTTCACGTGTGGAGAGTTTAGAGAATATTTACTTTGTACTTTTAAATACACTTTGTATGACCAAAAGTAACAAAAACCCATTCCGTGTATTTTCTAATCACCACTACAGCTCCCTCTAGTGGTGATTAGTTAATAATGCACATCCTTTCTTCAAAATGGTCATAAAACAGTGTGCCTATTACTTTCTGAAAGGATCTCTGGTTAATAAAGAATGTGACGAGATGAAGACAGTTTAAATTATTTCACAGGATTTATTTAGCCTACTGTGAAAGTTAAGTTTTCTAGAGGCTAAAATAAAAGTGAACATCTTGTGCTGATGCTTTGTTCATTTATTCAGACATGTTTCGTGAGGACTGGCCCACATTTATGACATAATCTGCTGGAAAACACTTAAAATGAACACTTCCTAAAATTTATATTTGTCGTCTGTGTGGTTTTTAGACCTGGACAGTTGTTTTCTGTTGATGAGTTCCATTTTCTCTTCTTCTTCTTTCGGCTGCTCCCTCCTTCAGGCGTCACCACAGCGAATTAATTCACATGAAGACTTATTTGTTGCCAGATGTCCTTCCTGACACAACCACAGACCAAGCTACCACAGCCCTCTGTGTGGAGCAGAGAGCTGCCACGTAGGGCGCCCAGAGGAGCAGATGGTGGGGGTTAAGGGTCTTGCCCAGGGGCACAGAGTGGGGCAAATGAAGGTGGAGGCAGGTGTGGGTGCTTCACCTTTTTCACCCACATTTTGACGTTGTCTATCTAGGGAGTTGTGCCAGCGATCTTCCAATCACAGGTCATCTTCTCTAACCTCTGCACCACCACTCCCCAGGAATAAAGGTCAGAATTTCAAGTCTACTGTTCATGTGTCGTAAATCTACATTTGATTGAATCGCTTTAGTTTCCGTTTCCAGCTGGTGGCACGAAGGAGGACGGCTGCTCCAAAACTGAAGGCAAGTACCGGCATGTGTGCGTTTATCTTCAAGTAAGTCCACACTTCAGAGTCCAGACATTTTTATTTTTGTGTTAGAGTTTAACACAGTCTTTGTTGTTGTTTATTTTGAGCTTTCACCTTTCAGAATCAGAGTCAACCTTCACTGTCGTTGTACAGAAGCACAATGAAATTACATCTCAGTCCAGCCGTCCAAAGAACGTGGGTAGACGGAGATGTCTGAGGCTGCAGCCTCGTGGGAAACGCTGCCATTTTTGTTTAGATAAGGAAAAGGGAAAACATGATGAAAGAGGAGGTCTATATAAAAAAAACTGGACACAGTGTGCGGTTGCCAAAAAAACCTCAGCACAAGAAAAAGCAACATAGTGGTGAAATAAAGACGTAATGCATGTGGTGTGGGTGAGGGTGGGGGTCCGCCCAAGTGAGTGACGCAGCCGCTGGTGCCTTCAGGGAGCAGAGGGAGGTCAGCGAAGGCGATGATTTAAGCACCGTTTTCAGGTGGATGTGACATCAAACTCGAAAACAGGGACCGTGTTGAGCAGAACTAAAGCAACTCTATTGAAAAAAAACAGCCAGTTCATTTTATTCCATTAAGTTATGGTTTTTTTTACTTGTTGATTTTTGGTTGTGTTCGTAACACGGGGGTTCGTGTTTCACGCCTGTGGTGTTTGAACTGTGTATGAAAACACAGCAGGGAACAATTATCATTTAAACACCTGTTGTCCCGGTTTATTGGCCAAGACATCTGTGAGGGATCATGTTCATCTTTAAAAACCTGCCTTGTTTTTTGTTTTGGCTCGAATATTTGTTGGAGTGAACCGGAACAGACGACAGAGGAACCATAAAAATATAAATGAGGAAAGCTGCGCCGAAGATGGGATGCAGATTCCCCTCACAAGCCAGAGCACGAATTTCTGTTTTAATTCCAACATTTCTCATCGTCTGACACCGTTCTGTAACTTTTGTTCACATTTCTGCTGCTGCTTCACTTCAGAGGCCTCTTGACGACCTCGTCTCCAGAAATCCTGCTGGGTTTAGAGACGGACGCCGGCGTTACGCCACCGACCCAGATCCCCCCTGGGAGCACTGCGATATGCTCAGCTGCGATTTATCCTTCTGTGAATACAAACAATCCTTTTTTTTACACCAAACTAAGACTTGTTGTTTTAAATATTAGATGATCATTTTGAACTTTTATTTGGCTGAAATTTGGTTACATTTATTGGGAAGAGGATGTTTTGTTTGTTTCACTTCTTCTTTTGACAACACTGACAGTTTCATGCATGATCAAGCATGATGCATGATTTTCAAAATGCATGATGCATGAGGTCTAAAATGACACATACCATATGATTTTCAAAAAGATCTATAAAAACACATACTATAGCGTGAGGTCTAAAATGACAAAAAATGACATACTACAAGTTTGATGTTCAAAAAGACCTGATGCACGTTTTTTTCTGTTTTTTTTTTTACATCTTTCTATAGTATGTATTTTTTAGGACATTTTGAACATCTTGCTACACATACTATAGGATGTGGTTTTATTTTGTTTAGTTGATTTAGACATGCTATAGTATGTGCCATTTTAGGTACAGTATTTTTGAACATCACGCTATGTGTTTTTAGTTCATTTTAGACTTCATGCTATAATATGTATCATTTTAGGTCTTTTTGAACATCTTGCTACACATATTATATAGTATGT